CTGTAGCACTGCATGGCATTGTTGTGACTCAGATGCAGGACCTGGCACTTGGCCTTGTTGAACCTCATACCACTGGCCTCAGTCCATCAATCAAGCCTGTCCAGATCCCTCTGCAGAGCCTTCCTGCCCTTCAGCAGACAAGCACTCCCACCCAACTGGGTGACATCTGCGAACTTGCCGAGCATGCACTAACACCCTCAGTTGCTTCCTAAAAACCTGTTTATTGTATTTAAAAGGAGACCCAAGCTGTGTGCAGCAAATGCTGTATTGACAGCAGGATAAATCATGCAAATTTAGTCATGCATCCCAACCTCTAGTTGTTTTAAGGGAAGCTTGTGGAAATTTATTAAACTATAGGTTTTTATCCTGTGCTGTTGATATGCCTACATAAATATATGTACATATATATCTATATTTATTTGATTAGTTAAATCAGTCTCTAGACTATTTGGATTTTTTTACACATTGCAAGGATAACAGGATCAGGTCCTGAGATGAACTACAAAAAATACTGATTTCAGTGAAAATTATTCAGACTTTACCCACTAAGCCGCATACATGGCCTTCCTGCCTTCTTTCCCTCCTTCCTCCCTTCCCACACCTTAACCCTTTGCTTTTTCCTGCCTCCTTGCCTTTGTCACATGCTGACAGGATTCTAGAAGCAGGGTTAAAGAGTTTCTAAAGGGCTAGGAGGCAAAAACTTCCAAAATTACTGCCAAAGAACCATACATTATCAAAAATATTATTTAACAGCAGTGGATATGCTCTTATTTATCTTCAAAATTAACATAAGACCTTACAAAATATTCCCTATGTGTAGCTTTATAGTCACCAATTTTGGGTGAATCACTTAAATTGTCTTAATGTAAAGTGTCTTAAAAGTGAAGTTGTACAAGTCAGATGCACTCTACCACAATTGAAAGCGGGAAAACACTTGCAGGAGAAAAACTAAATTCATTTGAAATCACTGGGAGAAATAATTTATACATATTAATATGATAAACCAATGAAGAAAAAGTATTTCTGTTGCTTTAAATTCAGTGATTTTTACATAGCATACTCTGCAGTGATTTAAGCTGTTACATGCATGATAATAAAATCAGAGTGAATTCCAAAGTGAAAAGCAAAATTTGTCCAAAAGTTTTACACGTGGATATTTCCCAATGAAAACATTTCTAAACAAAAGAAAGCATATTGTTTAACTTTCACAGCCCTGGAAATGTACAACTTTATGATGACTACACAGAACACAAATTTAATTATTATTACATATCAATTAATGTAAAAGAAATTAATGTTTTATTGGAGGGTGAAATTAACATCCTAGACTGATATTCTCCAAGAATGCCTATTCCTCAGCTCAGTTGTCCTGGAAAACATTAAACAATGAGATGCAGTACACAAAAACTATCAAAAGGGAGCACTTTTGAGCCACTGAAACCATATGATAGGCTGAAAACCACAATCTCCCGGCTGCAGACAATGATACTATCTCAGGTATTTTATGTGCTAAAATGATCATTAAAAATTAAGCACCACATATAAGCTGCCATTTAGAATATTAATTTACCTTTACTAATCATCTTTTTAACTTGAGGCTAAAAGAGTTCACTTACCATTCGGATACTCAGGCTTAGTCCATGAGATGTTAAAGGAGTCAGGTGAATATGACTGGGCTTTTGGAGCAGGAACACCTTCTGGTGTACTCTCGTCTGTTACAGCTCTGCTAGCTTCGCTTATTGAACATCCACCTCCAGTGCAAGCCTTAAAATATTCATCAAAACAAACAATCATATTTCAGTGTAGCACCAGCAATTTTAGCAATCACTTTTTTTTTTGCTAAAGTTTTATTATTCTTACATATCTAAACTGTCCGTGATTTTCATAACAGGTACTTTTCTTAGCATAGATATGTTTCCCTCTTTTCTTAAATAACAAAACAATGCATGATTACTCATGATACTTATTTTTAGCTGCAATACAGCTAAAATATAGTACTATAGTTTGACTTGCAGCATTTTGAATTTGATTATGACTCACAAACAATTAGACTTCCACTGCTTTTGCAGACACCGTTAAAGAAAATTACAGTACAATATATATAATTTACAGTGTGAAACTCTCCTGGAAATGACTGCAAAGCTCTCATAAGTTCCAAACACAGAATATACTGACTGACTTGCAATGCACTTATAAAATTATCTTGAGGAGTAGTCATTGAGAAAAAAAGATGTCACTCATAGTCCTGCACTTCACAACAGCACACGGAGATACAATTAAAATAGTTATTCTTAACAGTTATTATTACATATTTATGGAAAGTAAAGGAATTTGTATTTCAGTTACCAGAGAACAAAATATTAACCACACTATTTCTGCATTTTGCTCGATTATGAAATAATACAATGTGCAAGAAAATGTGCATATCACCCCATTCAACAGGCTTTTTCCGTTTGCATGCACAAAGCTATGGTCCTTACTTGTGCTGGTATGCCAATTACTTGCACTAACATCAACAGCAAGAGACCGACCTTAGAGAAGTTCAAAAACATACAAATATATATATACTCTTACTGGATTTAGAAATTTTTCTGTGTTAGTTTATCGGGGGGCAGGGGGTTAGTTGCATTGTTTAACAATGAAATAAATCAAAACCGGAATTCAACAAAGATTCAGATTCAGATATGCACTTAAATAAAACTTCTGGGATTGCCTGTGTTTTTCAGAGTTGCTCATGTGCTGAACTGGACAAGTAGCCCACTGTGGATCATCAGCACACATGAAAAAATAACCTTGCTGTCCAGATCTCCAGGAATAAAATGTTTCTCTCAATCAAGTATATTTTATTTGAAAGGATTAGCTTTAATTTCTCATTTCCCATTGTGTTTCAAATCAAGGAGCAGCTAACATTTCCTACAGCCTGCAAAAGTGTACACTGACCCTATGGGTAAAAATAAGTACTGTTTGTAAATGAGAGGCCATTTTATACACAGATTGCTTTGATTTCACTGGAAATTACACTCCCAACACAACTGAGGAATATCTCCCTGTGTTCAGTCTGGACTATCAAGGACAGATGAAAGAATGCAACCTCAGTTTTGGGAACATCCAAAAATGGCATTTACTTTAAACATGTTAGTGTTTAAAATTAAAAACCAAACCACACTAAAAATAAAGTCAGCTTAGATGGATGCTCAGGTAATTATTATTTTGATAAGGAAAATATTTAAGAAAAAATCCTCTTTCAGTAAAGGAAGAGTAGCCTTGAAATTATTTCACTTCTACTAGCTTCATGAAGAAGCCAGAAAGGTCAGTTCTGGAAGGCTGCCTGCTCATACATTCCTTACTGTCTTGCTAAGTAAGTTCCACTGTAAGGCCCATTGTGTCATTCTGAACATTACGGAGAAACAGATTCCAGGTAAAATTTGCAAAAATACCAAAGCAACTAGACAGCCAAGAGACAGATACACGTAGCAAGGCTCCGCCTAGCACCTAAGCTAGCTTACCCAGACAACACAGTGGTGAGGAGGTATTAGCTTAACAGCTAAATCACAAAAACACTCAAGTCATATAACCAGGTGTCCCACCCCAAGGTACTGAGGACAGCCTTTCAGCTTTCCATTTGCTTTCAGACTGACCTGGCTCACACCCATCCAGTTTAAAGCATGAACAGAACAAAACCAAGTTCCTTTCTACTCATCCGTGGAGACATGACTCTAAAACCTCTTGGCCAACTTTTGGAAAGAAGCATTAGATTTGCTTGCAAAGGCTGTTGCACTTATTTATGAATAGAATCATAGAATCATAGAACCAACTGGGTTGGAAGAAACCTCAAAGATCATCGAGTCCAACCCTACTGTGGTCACTAGACCATGGCACTAAGTGCCACATCCAGTCTCAGCTTGAAAACCCTAGGGATGGTGAATCCACCACCTCCCTGGGCAGCACATTCCAATGCCTGATAACTAACTCTGTAAAAAATCTCTTCCTAAGATCCAACCTAAACTTCCCCTGGCAGAGCTTGAGTCTGTGCCCTCTTGTCCTACTGCTGGTTATCCGGGAGAAGAGACCAACCCTCTATGTAATAAATGGCAGTAAACACTTCTGAAAACTGGTAACAGCATACAAAGATAAACATTTTGTTAACTTTATTTAACATACCTATGTTATATTAACCTGACATACAAAAGTTTAAGCCAGCAATCTGTGAGGTGCTAAAAGTTCTGCTGATGAGGATCCTGATTCCTGTGTTCAGGCTGCAACTTTTGCTAACTTAATTTCTGATTTCTCATGTAAACAAAAATCAGTTTTTGAACGGACACAAAATAAAATTAATATTAACTGTGAAATAAGAAAAAGGTTCCAGCTGATAGAAATATTTCATACTGACAACAAAAAAAAGGAACCATTTAGCTAATTATCCATTGTTGAATTATTGCTTCTACTTTCAAAGTTTTATTGAAATTCAGATTACATTATATGTGAAACACTAAATACATCAATTTCTTTCCAAGTGTATATGCTTGATTTGGAATTTTTTTTATTTTTTTTTTCTGTTGGTTGGGGTTTTTTGGGAGGGGCAGTTTCTTCAGTTTTTCCTTTAATCATGTATACAGGTAACATTTGGCCATGTTGAAGCTTCATAACTTGTAAATCTGTAATATTACATTATTTTCAAACCAGTTTAACAAGTTCTACATACAATATGTCTACGTGTTTTAAGAAAGCTATCACACCTCAGATATTGGGCATTTCATGCACTTTTAGATTTGCCATTTTCAAAGCTACAAGGACATTAAGATCTTCTATCCTGCCTATCACAGACCATTGCATTTTATCCAAGTAAATCTGGTTATCTTCATCACCACAAGAAAAAATAAAATTCATACTTTCTGGTTACCAGTGATTAAATGCAAATATTAAGGGGAGTGGAGGGAAGAACAAAGAAATGAGACATAAAATATAAAGATCAAAGGTTTCTAAAAATTTATTCAGTAACTTCTAGAAAAGCTGTACACATCGATGAAGCAAAACCAAAGTCCACACAATACTTCCTCCCATATCCCAAGGCAGAGCCACCAAAAGAAGCAGTCTGAGTTGCTCTCCTGATTGTAGCCCTTAATTCTTCCCTGATCCTCTCTCCTTGTGCCCCTGTGCACAGGAGCTGGGCAGGAGCAGAGAAGAGACATGGCATAGTGAAGGACAGCACAAATTCTTTTGAGAATCCTGCTTGCTTATAAAGGCATAAAATGCTTGTTGCAGCCCTGCCTTAGTTTTGGACATGGTGCTATTTTATATGCTATATAATTTACTATGCTGAAATATCTAGGCACAAATGAATTAATTTCAACATGAATCTAAGCTTTAATTAGACTGAATATCCTTGTTTTTTCAGGTTCAAGTCAGATCCTTATCATTACCTGAAGGTAGTTTATTTTTTGTGGTATAATATTTAGAACATTCAAGAGCATGTTAAGAAAAAATGAATGCATACCCAGTCTACATAAATGTAAATTTATTCATAATCAAGAGCAGAATATTTTTCTATGGCATTTATCAAAGCAAATATCCTTATATAGGTATTGTTATAAAATGAACAGTGTGCTTAAAACAAGGGACGATCGCCTGCTTTTATCCACATATTTTCAGGATTGTTAGTGAGTTAAGCTGTTCTATTTCATCACAAAATAAAAACAGTGATAAAGAAATGCAATGAAAACACTAAAGTCTTTTAAAATGGTTTGAATAAACAAACTGCTACTTTACACTGAACTCTTCCTCTCTGCTATTTACTTCTACATAGAGATTCCATAAAGAAAGAACAGATTATCACGGTACAAAATATGAAAGGTTAACACTTTTAAATACATTTAATGTTTTCTTGTAAGATGGGGTAAGGAGACATTTTTAAAGTATTTCATATATTTCTGGTCAATTCTTTATTATTTATCATCCAACTTATCCTTGAAGAAAACCTGTATTTAAATTGCATAAACATTTTTGAGAACCTGTTTGGAAACAAAAAAAAACTACTTTTGTTCAGGAAGGCTCATCCACCTTAGGTTCAGAAAGAAAGGTTGAACAAAGTGGACACATGAACCATTAAATATTAAGATGCTAACAAAATCAGAATCATTTTCACCATTTTACATCTCTACTACACATCTTTAAAACTTACAGCTAGTTTTATGAGGTATTCAGTACCCGGGAAAAGCTGCGGAATAGTAAAATCCAGAAAAAGTTCTGTGCTGTTACAGATTACATTCCAATTTGTAAAATTCTGCTCATTGTTGGCAATATAAAGAATATAGCGATCTAGGATTCCATTTACTTCTACTGGTTCTTTCCATCTGCAAATAAAAACAAAATATGATGAAGACCAGCCCAGATATGCAGTCCACAGTGAAAAATGAAAAGCTTTGTTTAGGGGACTTTGTTGGGTTTATTTGGAGAATTTGAAAACATAGTCATGCAACCATAAAAATAAACCTAAGCCATACCTCTAATGCAGTATTTGTACTCAACAGAGAAATGATTACAATAACACACAAAGCAGGGGCTAAAAAAATGGGCATATCACCAGAACATTTCCTGCACTGAAGTTTGCAGAGGCTATGCCCATATGTAGGTTATACTGATTGCGTAAAGACAAAATGGAAATTAAGTTGGCAAGTGATAATCAGAAGGTTCACAGAACCACTAAACTAATCACTTCTATGCATTTAATCATAATAAATTTAATTTTATGTCACAAACCCTTCCCCTGATTGAACTCACTGGAATTCTTGAATAAACTGATGCACTATTGTGTTGTCAGGAAAGAAGAAATCCTTACTTACTGCACATGTATCGTTCTAGAATCCAAAACCGTCAGGACCGGGGCATCTACATGAGATGGTGGCAGCTGTGCTGTAAACAAGGTGACCTGGGAACTGTTTGTACAGCCAGCAAGCGTGCATGCAGTGAGCAGAAACTGGTGCGGCGTAAAAACTGCTAAATCTAGGGCAAAAAAAGAATATGGATTTACTTTGTGTTTTAATTTCACCTTGTTTTTCTCTAGGTTGCAAATAGTAGCGAATTCAAAACATCAAGAGGAAGGGGGACCTGTATCCCTTAAATGTATCAGGTTTGTCCCAAGGGAGTGATTAGGTACTGGTTCTTCCATAGCAAATCACTGCAAATTTGGACTCCTAATAGATGTATGGGGTGTGTTTTGGTTGAGGTAACTCCATTGTACTCCATTTACACTAGAATGTATACTACTCAAACAAAAAAAAAGATATTAGCCTCTTCAGTGCTACATACTACATCAATTTGCTACAGTGGCAAAAAAGCCCCTCCCTTTGAGATGATTAAATCAAATCAAATTAATGGAAAAACAAGTACAGGTTCATTAGCGCAGCTGGATTATATGCTTTTTAAAAATGTGCTGTATGATACATGAATGTCAGGCATCAATACATACAAAGATTCATTCCATGAATATTTCGCTATAAGCATGAACACAAAGGAAACTCATTGTTGTCACCACTCATACTGATCTGTTCTCTCTTTTCCTGTTTGTCTTCAGCTGCACAAACACGAAACAATTGTCACATATATTTCAGTAAAGACAATCTGTCTAATGCTATACCAATACAACTGTTCAATGGTTATTTATTATGAAGCTATCTCAAGTTTCAATCACTGCAGAAAATGGCAAGTAAAATGTAGCATTTTTGCTGAATAAATTTTCTAAAAGATCTTTAGCTTCATATATTCTTCCCTACATTAAAAAAGAACGTTTCACAGAAAAAAATATAGTACAAAAGTAATATAGACATAATTTTCTAATCTTTTCCATTTTTCTCATCAAAATACAAATGATAGATTTCAATAATCAAATCCTTTAAGAAGGAACTTAACAACTGAGGTTTTGGCAACAGTATGAGATCTACAAGTAAAAAAAACATATTTATATAATGCCAGAAAAGTTCTGGGGTTTTGCAAGATCTAACAAATAGTGATGTTCTCAGAGCAAAACAGTATCAGACTGTAATTTTGTACAAAAGTCTCCGTGAGCACAAATTCAAAAATTGCGACTGAATGACAAAGACACCACCGAACTAGAGATGTTGCAGACCCAACTTCCCCCTCATTAGTTTTCCCCTCATTTAATGACTTCAGTCCCTGCTGGAACGGAATTTCTTCTGATTTGCTCCACTCTGTGGGAGAAGAGAGCAAACTTGTGCATTTTTATTCAAAATACCATATCACTCAGTGGTATTGTTCTATCGAGCACATGGCAAAGTGTGAGTTAAAAAAAAATTGCTGTAACTAAAGAAAAATCATCAAGTGAATGACTGTAACACAGTGACATGTTTAATCAACATAATGGGACTGATTCTACCAGGGTTAAGCAGTGCTTAAGTCAGTGAGAGGGGGAAAGCACGCTCCAGAGCAGTTGCTCAAGCTGGCTCAGCAAGCAAAGTAAACTCCACATACTGCATTGACTGCACTGCCTCCATTAGTGTCCACCTTCCTGGATCTCCTGTTCCTTGCAGCTGCCATCAAAGAAGTCAGAAAAAGTACAGACAGAGCTGAAATTCTGAGACACAAGTATCAGATACTCCATGTAGTGAGTGCACTAACAAGTGACCAAAAGGATTTTACTTTTGTCAGTCCTAAAATGAACAGCTGAAAGCAATTCATGGCACCTATTTAATTCATAACCTTGTAAATAGTGAATATACATTCTTCTCTCTAAACTGAATCCATATTGTGGAGCTTCACTTAGCAGAGTGACTATAACACAAGTGAAGGGAAAACAGAAAAAGAAAAATGGATTTCTCCCTTTCCATTTGTTTATCGGGCATTTTCCTCTCCTTTAAGGAAAGTTCCACAACTGGAACAGCTATTCTTTGAAAAGGTGGCTTAAACTGAAACCCTGATTTGATGCATAATGTAGCTGATAAGACTACTTGCAGGCATAAGAGTTTCTGGAAATACCTAGTGCAATTTGAAGAGGGAAGAACTTTATCAAGGATTAAGAGAATGGACAATGGAAAATGTTTTATTTTCCTCCCTGAAAAAAACCCAATTCACTATAAGTTACTATGTCTGCCTCACTGCCTAGAATGGAAAAAAAACTAAAAAAGTCAAGACAGGGAAACATGTAAAGTTTTAAAAAAACAGGAATAATAAGGAATGGAAACACAGCACATATGGGCAGTGAGACCCTTTAGGATCAAATGATAAACAAACTGACAGGGGAGGGAAGGACAGGAGAGTTTAAAAAAAAGAGTTAAAATGTAAAATATGGGGAAAAAAAGCAACATGTCACCAGGATCAAAGAAAATGTTTATTCCTCATCTTGATTTAATAACACCAAAGTATTTTGACTACTAAATGCCAAATTCAATGGAATCTCAAAGATTTAGGTAGGATAAAGAATAAAAAGAAAAATTACATTTGTGGAAGCAGAAGAAAAGAAAGAAATGTCACTCACTTAGCAATGTCACTCAAAGCATGAGCTTTGCTGAGAAAATTTCTCCATAGACTTCAACAAGGTTTGGATAAGCCAGAAAATATAGTGTAGGTAGTATTTCTAAAAGGTTACAACCAGAAACTGACATACCGAACAATAAAAATCACATTGCATCCTAATCAATGCAATTATTTGTCACAATCTGATTTGGGAGATATTTTCCTGTTTAAAGTTCAAAGTGTTTCATAAGGGATGACTGGATTCAAACAGCTACAGATACAAACGTAAATCTGAAGGAGGAGGGAGGAGATTCTTAAAACTACAAAGCCACTGTTTGTCAAGGTCCTCTAGCAACAATGCCTTGCTTTCCATTTGCTTGATTGCATGATTTGCATAAGATCAAATGTAGGCAATTGTGGACATAAAAACAGATCGCTCTCAAACACATCAGAAATGGATCCACAAGCAATATGTAGAAATGTGCTACAAGAAAATGCACCCCAGTGCATGAAAAACTCAGTGACTGATGTCAAACAAACTATAATTTACAATATAGGGCATGAATTATATGTTATTTTACAATTGATTTCATGCTGTTGCTGGAAGAATTTCATTGATCTCAATTTACAAAATGAACCTGATAAGGACGCAATTGTTTCTTTTCAACTTCCAGAAAAAAAATTGCTTTTTCTTCCTTATAAATTTGCTTGATCAGGTTATATTTCCATCTGTTCCACAATTCCAGTTCCCCGAGATACTTTAAAATAAGATCGAATGCTTCCTATTTCAATTTTTTTCAATTATTGTGCTCTCAAATCACTTATTTCTTAGCAAAACAAAGTAACTTTTAAAAACCACAGAGATTCATTGTGAAAAAAACCAAACCCACCCTAAATTCAGGATTTGGTCTTGTTCTCATTTCTGGACTCAGAAGGACAAAGAGCCCCAAAGGACAAAGAAAAAAGATACTTTCTTGGGGGTACAGGATTCCCCCAAATTATCCTATTAAAGTGGGAAGTAGACAGAAAAATAATTCTGCATTTTTCATGTCAAAAACTGAACAAAGGTAGAAAACTAAAATAAAATCCCACATATCCATTTTAAAACCATTACTGGCTTTCCCCAAAGGAAAAGGTGGGGTGCAGGGAGAAGAGCAGAGAGAGAAAGGCTCAACATGTCTTTTTTCTCTCTTTGACCTCAACAGCAATACAAACAAACTGAATTCTTTCCTAACTCACTTGTCAGCAAGAGAATTGTTAGCTACAGTGGCTAGCATTAAAATTGACATTTGAATACCACTACGTTTATTACATATGTGGTATGTGTGGAACTTCCCACACCAACTATAGTAGCTGGTATCTATCCCATTTCGAATAACCAGCAGCATAAGTCTGGATAGCACAATCAATGCATGAGACAGAAAGAATAAAGAATGACCCTGTTTGCATGGTCAATAAGAACACTCACTTTGCTTTGATCAAATTTAATGGGTAGTCATTGAAAGATAATATGCAACGCTACAGTGCTATTTTTAGCATGGATTTTGAGAGATGTTACTAAGATAGAGAAGAAAAACAAACCCTGAAATTAGACATTTAACAAAAATGAGTTTCACCATCAACTTCTCAAAGTACTTCACAGTTCAAAAATAACACAGTACTAATACCTACAATGTTGTAATTTATTTGTAACACACAGCTTGTATTCAGGTTTACAGCAAGGGAGCCACATACCCTTCCTTCCTCCCCTCTTCCACCCTATTTCCACTCTCCCTGGTTTCAGGCAGCTATTGTAAGGGCCAGAAATGACAATGTCCTGTCTCGGTGAGTGCTCACATGACTTGCATAAGGAACCCCACATAGTTCCTCTCAGGAAAATAATTGAGACAATAGCTATCCCATTGCTATATTCAAAGGAAAACACAGCAACATTCCAGCAAGGGATTGTTAGTAGCACAACAAAGGAAACCTGCTGAGAGAATATGAAAATGAAAAACTTCCAAAGAATTCCAATCACCATGTAGTTTATGTAGGTAGACTGTATGAACGCTTCAGCTTATTACTCACCTTCTTACCTTGTTCTCTCATCTTCTTTCTCATTATTTGTTACATTAACTCACAGTAACTTAGTATTTATTTAGAAGATAAACTCTATGGGATCATGAATCTGCTTTGCCAAATACAACAATGTCCCTTTCTGATTTCTATGTACCACCAAAAAAAAAAAAATCTAATTCATATGCTAAGTGTTAAGATCACATTATCAGGCTTGCTCCATCAGACACCATTAGCAGTTCTCTGCCTTCCATCATTTTCTGTAACTAAGCAACAACTCATATATAACTTTTAATATCCTGCTTGCTTTATTTATAAAGCACCGATCACTTAATTATATTGACTCTCAAAGCACCGTCAACTAAGGTACAGCTTTCTCTGGAAAGGTATTACACTAATCCTGCGTCATTTTCGCAGATCTCCTATGAACCCCATGCCATACTCATCACCCCCTTGAAAATATTTCAGAAAAAACAGGA